CCCTATTTTCCTATCGTCGCCGTTTTTGAAACGGTCCTTGATCGTGGCTTTGGCGGCTTTGCCGCAGATTTCAATGATTTCCGCGCCCGAGTAACCATCCGTCAGCGCTGCCAACTCGTCCAGCTCCACGTCTCCCGCCAGAGGACGCTTTCGTGTCCCGATGGCCAAGATCTGCCTTCGGGCCTCCAGGTTCGGTGGGCCCACGTAGAGGATGGAGCCGAACCGGCCTGGGCGCATGATGGCGGGATCCAAGACGTCCGGTCGATTGGTGGCCGCGAGCACGAGCACGCCCTTCATCGACTCAATCCCATCCATCTCGTTGAGAAGCGTTGTAAGCACGTTCAACCCACTCAGCTGCTTCCCGCTCTCTCGTGACGCCGCGATGGAATCAATCTCGTCGAAGAAAATGATGCTAGGGCTCGCGGCCCGGGCTTTGCGAAACACTTCCCGCACCGCTCTTTCAGTCTCTCCCACGTACATACTCGTCAGCTCGGCGCCCTTGACGGCGAGGAAGTTTAGATCGGATTCCGTTGCCACCGCTTTAGCGCAAAGTGTTTTCGAACATCCGGGAGGACCGTAGAGTAAGATGCCGCGCTCGGGCTCGATGTTGAACTCTTCCATCGTTGCCGCGTGCTAGAAACCCGGGTTAGTATTCCATAATTAGACATGGATGAAACAAGTTACCTTGAACGGCCATTCCGTGACCTCCGTGAGTGCCTCTTTGACACTTTCCGATCCACCGATATCAGACCACCTGACTTTTGGCGTTTCTAAGAAGACTTCATTCATGGCGGTTGGCCGCACGACTTGAAGTGCAGCTTCAAAGTCCCTCAGGAGCACTTCCATTGCTTGTTCTTCGACCTCGCGTTCCTTGGAAGGCTCGGGCTCAGGAGGCGGCGTCGCCTCTTGCAACCCCTCCTGGCGTGTTGAAGCTGGGATGCCATCACACTCTGTGGAAGAGCCCTTCAACTGTGCATACTCTTCCAAGTCAATGTGCCGGTCGCAAGCATTCTTGAGAGCGTTTTCATACAATGCTCTGAGGTCTCTTCCAACAAAGCCGTGTGTTCTTCCGCCAATGGTTTCCGCAACTTCGTTGGCGATGGGCCAGCCTTGTCTTTCGAGGACCTTCAATATCGCAACACGAGCATTTCCATCCGGAACGGGTACCTCAATTTCAAGTGAGAAGACATCGGTATTCCTCAGTGTAGCGTCAACGTCTACCAGGCGAGTAGTCGTACCAACAATAAGGACTTGCGCAGTCCCCAGCTTTTCGACCTCGTTGGCTAGACAAGTAGCGAGAACAGATACGCCGTCGTCGTTTCTTGGAAAGAATGCTTCCAGCTTATCGAAGAGAATCAGACTGGGTTGGTGGGCTTTCGCATCTTCGAAGATTTTGCGTAAGGTACTTTGGCGCTTTTCCGACGTGCCTGCCAGCAACTCGTGCGCCCTGAAAATGCTGTTCCAAGGCGCATCTGCCAGTTTCGAGAGAAGCAGGCTCTTGCCAGTGCCTTTAGAACCGTGGAGCAAAACGCCGGTGCTCCTCAGCAGGCTTGAGGGATATTTCTGGCGTCTGATCTCCCATGTGAGCGTGCGGAGCTGTTCATTGAGGTAGTTGAGCTGCTTCTGAAGTCCGCCGATGCCTTCGGCGTCGATTTCGAAGGACTTGGTTGAAATGGGCGCGGATACTGAGGTTGGAGGAGCATCGCCCTCCTGCAACAACTCTACAGCGCTGTCTGGTCGGCAGGAATATGGGACGGGTCCTGAGTCAACGTCTGGATCGATTTGCTCTACCTCGAAGCGGATTTCCCGAGGGGCTTTTGCTCCTCTTGGCAGGGTGACCAAGAAAGACCCTCCAACCACGACCGCATCCAGATTGCCTATCAGTCGGCGATCAGCAAACGAGTACATAGCAAGAAGTTATGCCTTTGTTGCATATCGAAACACATACACATGGCCGATTTTGCCCAAAACTCAACTTCTGGCTTTGGCAAATCGTCAACGGGATCAATCGCTTTGACGTATACCCTCTCAGCACGCATCAAGACCTGAGGCTCGAGTTTCGATATCACAGCCCGCTCCCCATGTTTCAGACCGTAAAGCTCTTGCAGCGAAGGCTCGTCAATGATGGCAACTTTCTTCTGGGGATCGGCCGCCTTTGAGAAGACGGCGACGCAGATGGCCTGGCTGCCGTCGGGCATTTGCAACCTGCAGTAGTCTCCATGCTCCAGACCGGTCGCCTTCAGATTCTTCATCGACAATGACACGCGCAGGCCGCCATGGAGAGAATTTGTCGACTGGGTCGTCCGGGCGGCTGCCGCCTGCTTCCGCTGTAGGGTGAAGGGCGAAATGTCCGTCATGCTATCAGAGCTGCTCGCAGCACTCGTAGTGAGGCCGCAATTGGAGGTATGTGCCTGGGGTTTACTGTCAAGTCGACGCCGAGTACGCGACTCGAGGCCTCTAGCGAAGTTTCCATGAGCTCGCTGATGGCCTTGCTTTTTCGGGCATAGCGCCAGGGCTGCGGCGGAGCGTCTCCGGCTAACGTCAACTAGCTGCAGCTCCCCCAGCTCGCCGTGGCCGTAGCTCCGCGTCGTACGGTACTGTACTGTACGTCCGGCTATCAGAAACCACCTCATGCGTTTCCATCGCATGCCTTCCTGTCCGCCATAACCTCAATTGATGCCGCTACAGCGTCACCTCCTACCGCAGCACATCCATTCTGCATCGGGCCCTGTGCGCCCATCATGTTGGCTCAAGCCCGCCCACCTGACAGCGATCCGGAGCTTTGCCCTCCACCCGCCCGCCAGAAGCCGCCCGCCCACCGCTGACAACTACGACGGCCGGACGGGTGCAGGCAAGCGACAGCCGCTGAAAATAAGAAAAGTGAGGTCTCTGGATCCGTCAGAGCCATTGGTAGATGTGCTCTTCCCGCCGCCGGAGAGCGCAGGAACCCCCAAGAGGTCACCCAGGACGATCCCCGGACGTCGTCCTTTCGGGAGGAAATCTCCAACCTTTCCTGTACCTAACATCAAGACGCTGCGTATAGAAGAGGAGAGGAGACCAGAGGAGAGGGGGCCGACTATCAGAACTGTATCCAGCGTGAATGTTGATGTGGAAAGATGGGAGTCGAGGACGCCGACAGACCCCGTTGTCCTGCGAGTCCGTGCCGCGAGTGCGAATATCTCCTTGAATGACTTTATTCGCATGAGCCCCTCAGGCACCAAGTTCGTCGATGGACGGATGGACGGAGACCTCCAAAAAGGTATGTTTATGCCCACTACCACTCCTCCTTACCCCCATCCACTGACACCCACCAGTCATACCCTTACGCGACCAAAGTACCTTCCAAAATACAGGGAACTACAGCCTAGTCTTCAAAACCATCACCGCCGCCCGCGACTACCAAAATCACCTAGCCAAACTACATAAGCTTGCCAAAGACTACGCACCGACAAGTCTCTACTCGCCACTTGCCCCTGCCCCCGGCGCCGACGACCCCTTCGACACGGGAGAAAACCAGGAACGACTCCTCCGCTCCTACGCCTTAGTCCCCTCAAGCCACATCCTCGACAACAATATAGTAATGTACCCCTTCCCCGACGACCTCCTAGGCATACTTGCACGCGGCGGCTACCGCGCCGTCGTATACGGCAACGATCCAGCCACCGGAACTGTGTTCCACAAAGTACTTCTAACCTTCGAAGGCATGCAGCCCTCGTTGGAAATGATCAGTCTGGCGTTTTACAGATCGGGCCGGTTGAGAGGGCTCCCGTGGGGTATCGCGAATAACGATGTCAAGCATTTTAATGAGGTTTCTGGCAAGCGTTTGGAGCCGAAGGCGTATTATAAAAAGTTTGTTGTGCCTTTTGAGGATGAGGGGAATGCGCAGAGATTTGTGAGGGCTTGGCATAGGCAGCGGCTGAATTGGTGGAATGATGAGTGGGTGACGCCAAGGGGGATGGAGGATACTATGATTAATGCGACATTGTTGTGGTGATGGGTGTATAGATAGGGGGTGGATGGATATATGATAGGTGAATTGAGAAATGGAGTATTGAGAATATCTCCTATCTACTAGTCGTCACCCTGAGTCACTCTGCAGACCTCCACCATTCCTCTTTCCAAAAATAATCAAAGCATATCATCAGGGCATCAGTCGAGACACTATGGTACGTACTTCATGATACATATCAGTACAAGACTAAGAATCTGAAGGAGGGGGTAAATATAGATGGAGTCGAAGGCCCAGATAGTGGGGTATCTCCAAAGAGTGGCCTGAACCACAATCCTTCTTTCCCGCCCTTTTTCCAGATCTGCTCTTTGGCATAGGAATTACCTCTTGAAAAACAAACAAACCCCTTCGACGCGACTCTCAACATGCTCCTAGTCCCCAAGAAACTCAGGAAAAGTTATCACACACTACGCTTACCATTCCATCTTTCCGACGTTTGTATCGCTGACCCAGACGTGGGGAAACCGAGGTAATAAAGCAGAGTGTTGGATCCCTGCTTTCACAATCCAAAGTGTCGACACGGTGGAATAATGATACAAGACAGCCAACACTTTTTTCGCAGCCCAGAAAATGTCGTGGCTGTTTTCGAAGCATTCTTCTGTACATACGTTTTGATAGGTTCTGGAAGGTTGGATTATTAAGGCCCCTCACGGAGCGTGTGCGATTATGAGGTTACATCAAGCTCAAATCGCCCGTTATCGGCAGCTACTTTATTGGCGACACGAAGACGATCGCGATAGGCGCGCATTCTTGCCAGACCTGTACTGGCGTGAATGGTGGGAGTAACAACGTACTGATGCCAGTCGTAGGCCAGGTAAGGTGTTGACTTCGCTAGATTGATAAGTCGCACACAAGCACTCAATTTTTCTCAAAATAGTCTCATTATATTGCATTTTGCCACGGATTTTTCCATCACATCACCTGATCCCAACAGGGCGTTTAGTAAGTCTCAGCCTTCCATGGCACACTATTCTGCAACATCCACTAACAATCACATAGGCTCAGTGGTAGAGCGCCCGCTTTGCAACCATTCATTGAATGCGGGAGGTCGAGGTTTCGATCACCTCATCGTCCATTATCTTTTGCTTTCTTTTTGCTCGCTTCTCGCTTCTTCTTTTTGTTGAGCTGTTGTTGGTGTGCGGGGCTGGAATGGAGTGGGGACGTGGACTCGAAGCGAAGGGTCGGTGGGGATGGGGACGGTCTCGTGACTCGGGACCAACCTTCGCGAAGACCCGGAAGTCCCACACTGTGCTGCACTGAAGGAAACTGGAGCGAGCATGTATCATGGATGTCCCATGCATGCTTTTGCGTGTTTCTTTTCAGGGTCCTTAAGCTACTGCAGCAACACACCAAACATACCAGTTTCGAATAGAACTACCACATAGGACATCAAACAATTATCATGGATATTACTACACTCTAAACCAAGAACCTGCTTGGTAGATCATCTCCCCTTCCCAAAAGCCAAGTATCCGAACAACACGAAATTCTCACAACCGCCAGGCCACTCCAAACATTCCCATAACATCGTAACCCTCTTCCCCCCACCAAAACCTACCCCCTCGTCCCCGGCCTCGACCCCGGCCCCCTCTCAAACCCATCCACACTATTCCTCCTTCCCCAATTCTTCGGCTGCCTCTTCAAAAACGCGCCCACAGCCCCAAGGTAACCTTCATGCCTCAAGAAATATGCCTGTTTCTCGCCCTTGGACCAGAACTTGATGGCGTAGGAGAGGGTGTTCATGGTTTGCTGGTGGCCGCCGATGAAGGAGCCGCCGAAGTATATGTTTTGAAGACCGTGTTTTTCGGCGTGTAGGTAGGCGATTTGGCCGATGTTGTTGCTAGGAGGGTGTATTAGCGGGAGATGTTCGTTGTGAGGAAGGTAGCATGGGTTGTTTACCTGACGGCGTAGAGGAGGCTTTTGCTCACGTCTTCCGGCTTGAACATTTTGTTATCGTCGACGGGTGTGTGGACGCCGCTGCCCACGGCGTGGCTACGGTCATCGCTCACAAGATTGCCATTGTCCTCTGCTTCCCTTTCGCCCTCTCGCTTCATCTTGTAGACCTTCCCGAAGCTGCTTGCGATAGTGGTGCTCTTGAGCCCTATTTTTCCGTAATCGGTTCCGTAAATGTCGCCGACGAGCATATCAACAGCGGTGTTGTCGCCTCGATCCGCAAGTCTCAACATGTCTTCGAAGTTACGCGCGCCGGTGAGCAGCGACAGTAGACCCCATAGTGTACCTCCTCCCAACGATGTGCCGCCGATGCGCTGGAATTGCCGTGGGCCGGATACTTTGATCATGGACACGCCGGAGCCGATGTTTACAAGGAGGTAGGGGTATATGTCTGGACGTGCGTCTACGAAGTGCATTGGGTCGTCTTGGCTGTAGGTGAAGACTTCGTTGGGTATCTCGGTGATGAAGAAGTCCAAACCTGAGGGTTCCTGTCGTTAAATCAACTGCGTCTGCGACAACCAGAGAAGAAGGCTTACCTATGATCAAGCATTCCATCTCGTCTTCTCTGAGAACCTCAACATCCAGGACTTCCTTTATGCGCTCGTAATATTTGAACGCGCCTCCTCCCGTCGCCATAACGCACAGGTCTGATTCCTTGGAGCCATTGAGAGTCTGGTACTTGAGCTTCAGGTCGCGCATAAACTCTATGCATGACTCTATTCTGTCCGTTTCGAATTTCAGAAAGTTGAGTCGGCCGCCGAGCTCTTTCGAGGTGGGATCGCGCGTGAAGTAGACCAGTTTAGCTAGGGAGCCGCCTATCTGCAAACCAGTGTCAATGGAGCGCGCCCCCAATTATCGGACTGTATAGAGCACCCACATCAACCGCAATATGACTGACGACAGCTGTGTGGTTTGGCAGCCGGATATCCTTGGTCTCGTGCTCATACTCGTCGCTCGCGACACTCGACGGTGTCCTCGGCTCATCGTCAACGATGAAGGCGCCTTGAACGTTTATGCGCACATTCCCCGGATGTTGTATGGTGTTGTGGATATTGTCAATGTCTGTTGTCGCGGTCGGCCGTTGGGGCCTGGCGGGGTTGTGGTGTTCGTCCGCTGCGGCGAGATCCAACGACACGGACGGCGACATGGAAGCTCGACGACGACTCTGGTTCCGGAGATGCTTGCGATGCGGCGGGGTCGCGTGGTGGAAGCTCGAGGCGGAGGAGGTTACGGAGCAAGTTTACGTCGCTGAGTCACGGGCAGGCGGGCATTATAGGTGGTTGAGAGACTCTGTGCTCCACTCGACCGAGTGCCGGTGGTTGAGGCATTGTACCTAGGCTTACGGTGCAGACGTCAGAACGCTCTCACGCTCAAGAGGCTGAAGCGACCGGCCTTGAAACGAGTGGAAAGATGGTGGAAGCGTAAGCGAGGGAGCATGGCGAACAGAGTCGGCTCCACAAAGGATCAAGGACAAAGGCTCATAGCATGCGCTGTAGGGTAAACGGAGGTGCGTCGGTCAGAGCAGGAGGTTTGCCAGAGAGGTGGTTCACCGGCCCGGGAACGGCAGGTACACGTGAGTGACTTGGGCGTTGAGCTCCCGCAGCCACGTAGGTCACACAGATACATCCAGGTGTTCAAACTTTGGGCAACTCCACTGAGGCTTGATAAATGTTCCTCGTTCGTAACCAGGTTATTGGTATCTTCCATCCTTCCAGCAATAATACTAACTTACAGTTGCGCCTCTAACGATTAGCCAGTACGGTTGTCCGCTAGCTACTCAATCATCAACCCTGGACATGACCGCTTCCGAACTCCCGATTCCCGTGCCTCAAAAGCTAGATTTTTTGTTCAGTTATAACATGACCTCCCGGATACCTGGGGGTCCCTGCTCGTTGTAATCCGAGCGGGTCATGTACCCTTGACCGAGAGTCTCCACCACGAACAGCACTTTCGCAGCGACCTGAGCGCCCAAGAAGCCAGCTTCTTCCAAGCCCACATCTTTCCATTCGGGGAAGTACTCGGGGGCTTTGACCAGCTTCATGCTTGTCGGCGTTTGCCCATGGGAAGAATGCGTGTTGTGTGAATGCAGGGGAGCCATGGGGTTCGGAGTTCCGGCATGGGGATGAAGATGTGGGTTTTGGGCCGTAGTAGCGGCTATCAGGAGTGGGTTTACTCCGCTGCTTTGAGGCTGAAGGCTCGGGTGTTGGGGTGTGTTTGCGCCAGTACCCGTTGGTGTAGAGAGATTAGACGGAAGCTCGGAGGTGAACATGGTTGCGGATGACGGAGAAATGATGTACTTGGACTGGAGAGTGTGTAGGAGTGCTTCCTTGAAACCTAGATTTCGGTTAGAGTGACTGTAGTATGAGAGGAACTTGGAGCATTACCTCTGACTCTGGATCCGTTCCCCAATATTATGAGAGAATCCCAGAGTTCGCTACGCTTATTGACTTCTTCAACAGCGGAGATTGTGCGATGAATTGCGTCGGCTATCCTCTCAAGCAGACCGCCGCTCGCAGCTTGGAATCTCTCTGTCCCTACTTCAATTTCCCGGCGAATGGACCCTTGCGTTGATGTCGGAGATGTTCCGTTGGTCTCCACGCCCGTCATCGCATCACCGTCGACTGCAGTGCCGTTTTCGCCATCATGCTTCCTGGATCCCTCATCGAACGCAGCCTGGGCCTCGGCCATCTTCTGTCCGCTCATGTTGAGGTCCTTGAGAGCGCTTAATAAAGCATGGTCCTCGTACATGAACGTTGCTTTCTCTCTCCGCGCGTTTGGCAAGCGCATTGGTTTTGCCGCATTCGCAGCAGCATCCAATCCCTTCTTCCTGGCGGCAGCCTTCTCGGCTTTGTCTTTCTCCTTTTTGGCAAGATACTCATTCATCTTGCCGCTGGTAACAATGTTTGCGACATCCAGAACACCCTCATTCTCTTCGTCCTCTTTCTGCTCCTCTCCAACCTCAGTATCCGGACCGGGTCCACGGGGAACGCTGGGGATAGCAGCATCTGGTCCCGAGGTTGTAGCGCCAGTTGATGCAGCAGCAGCGGGATTGACCGGGCCATCATTCATACCCTCACCGGTGCCTGGAACAGGGGTTCCTTGAGACAGCACCTCGCAGATTGGACTTCTCTTGAGCTGCTCGCACATTTCTCTGGAGAAGTTCTTGGGACTCAGGAGCTCGAGCAATCTCTGGGTCATTGCTTCTCCACCGCAACCTTCCAGGGCTACTGATCTTCCGGTCTCTTGCAAGACGAACTCGCTGATCGCGGAGACGTCTGCCTTGTCCAAGCCGATGTCAACAACGGTGGCCGTATGTACGCCATACGCATAGGCAGCTGCCGTGGCCGAATCCACAATTGTAAATGCTGGCATCTTGAACTTTTCGAAGAAGAACTGAGTGAGCCTTTCCTTCTCCTTCGGCGTCCATACAGGTTGACTGATGAGCATTATCGGGGTGTGGAATGGAGGGTTGAGCTGCTTGTAGACGTAGTCCATGAGAGCGAAGAAGCATGGCCAATTCGTGATCCGTCCCTTGACCATCGGCCATGTCGCGCCATCTTCTGAGAAGTGATCCTCCTCATAGACGGTCTCTTCCTCTTGACCTTCGCCCAAGGTCTTCTTGACATCGTTGGTTTCGTCGCTCTCTTCCTGGCTGAGAGGCTTCTTGTCCTTCTTCCGGACTTTGTAAGGTTCGTATTCGCCGGGCTTCTCCGCGGGGAACATGCGCGACTGCACGCGCAAACGTGCGGGGGTGAAGGACTCTGGCAGACCGAGTTGCGCAAGTGTGGTTTGCGAGCCAGGCGCGATGATCTGGATTAATTGTTAGAGGCAGCGATGCGGATGGTAGCAGCATGTGACAAACAATGATCTGCTCATCCTTGAAGGGCGCCATGGCTGTGAGCGCCTTCGCTGGTGAGGGTTGTGCGGGGAGTGAGGGCGATGTAGCTGGAGCTGATCTCGCACACCTCGTTGGATGGGTTCGTCGCGTCTGGACTGGATGAGAGAGCTCGGCGCGTCACGGAGCTTCCGCTGGCAGGTTCCGGCTTCACCGAGTCGGTCATCGGCGTTTGTCGGCCCGGCAAGAAAGATGGCGGGCCCCGTCACGGCGGCTGGCAGCACATG